TTATAACTGGAAAATACCACTTGAACATCTAAGTATAGATTTTTAGAAAAAAAAAAATTCAAAAAAATTAAAATCACAAGATTTTTTGGCATTTTTTGGTACGTGTAAAAATCGTTATTTTTTTGTTATAGTCATGTTATTCCTAACACATTTGCACAATCACTTAGAATCACTTCACAATCATTAAAATTTTAAAAATATTAGCAGAATATAATTATGTACAAGAATAAAAAAAAAAAGTCTCTAATTGTGCAATTTCACATTCAAATCATTATTTTTGTAACTAACAGACGAAATTATCAAAGTCACCCCGCGTATCAAAGTCACCCCGTTCTACGGTACTAATTGGCAGCCAGCAAAACTAACTGAAAATATTTTGAAGCAAGTCGTAGAATTTAAAGGCGTTCAGCGTCGCATAAAACATATCCAATCTCAAATTGATACTCGAACATTATGCGATATTCCTTAAGTTGAAGTAGAAATGAACACAAATAGTGGTTGTAATAACGCGGAAAACCATGATGAGCAAAGTAAAAGTGCGTTCGAGAAGAGTCAAGAAAGTGTGCTACAGACAAACGGTGAAACGATTCCAAGAAATAGAAGTGCCGTTGCCACGTACTTAAAAATGGCGCAGTACTTAAAAATGGCGCATGCCCCAAAAATATGATGATTATTATTAGTATGATCCTTAAGGACCAAGGAGGAGTGTAAATTTGGTGCAGAAGTTCAAGAACATTCTATGGTAATTACATGGTTTCTTTTTATTAATAGTTCTTAATTATTTTAATTGTAATTATGCAATAAGTACACGATGTTTCGTCTACTTAATACAATACTTAATTACAATTTGTAGAAAACTTTAGTCAAAAAATCATGCAGAAAAATATTTAATACATAATTTTTAATTATTGGGGTACTAAACTGCTTTTGTAAAAAGTTAAATGAAAATATATGAATGAAAAGAAATTTAATTTATTTCCTACTCTAAAACTTTTTTTTTTAATATAATAACGCAACTTTAAAAACCTAATTTAAAATAAATTTAAATCTTTTTAAAGACTTGAGAATAAACAATAAAACTCTCCTAACACAACGCATTGTTTTTTTTTATAACATCAGGGTAAAGCCGCAAGAACATATTTGTTGCGGTAGATTGTAAAATGCATTAGTGCCAAACCCAAAATTTTCTCTTCTGACTTTCGAAAGTTCACGGGAAAAAAAAGTCAGACGAAATATCGCCTATGTACTAGGTGGTTTTTGTATTGACGATTTTTGTGGGTATTTTATATAAATTGATGTAAAACTTTTGTGAAGAGGAATGGAATTCAGGTTAAAAAATAAACTAGTGGAAAGAAAAAAAGTTTTGTTTTGAGCGAGAAAATTACATTAGATAATAGTTTTCATCTCTTTGTACTGTCACTAAATAAAGTCTTAAAATAATTTGCTAAATTCCGAAGTAGTTTATGGCTTTTGGAACATATTTAGCAAAATCTTTTCCGCATAAGTTAAGTGTGTGACAGCCATAAGAAAAAAACACGGCAGTAAAACACTGAGCTTTTTCTTTTTCATTGATCATAGCTTGGGCTTATTTTTCATTTATCCGCCATGTTTGCTGCATTGTCATAGCTTTGCGTTCTATAATCTCAAAGTAGGATAGGATTACCTTTCGACGTTTCAACAATTATATAAGGAATTAATAATCCAATTAATAACTCATTTAAAGAAAGAGGTTGGTTGGTATCCTATTGCATAACGAGGTTCATATATCGGAAATTGCTTCTTTTATGAAATTGAAGTTTTATTTATATATAAACAGTGTTTTAAATTTTTTTAGATATATTGGAACAATAGATGGAACATATCCTATACCAGATTCTGAGGACAAAATTGAAGAATTGTATCGTATCAAAAAAGGATATTTTCCTTTGAACTGCCTGGTAATTAAAAAAACTATTATTTTATGAAATAAAAATAACATTCAAAAACATAGAAATGCTCTAATAAAATAAACCTTACTTCAAGTATGATAATAAGACCTTACTTCAAGTATGAACTGCAGTGACTCATTTGGTCACTTGGTATATAATAGTATTCATATTTTAAAACGCTTTATATAAAAAGCAAAGGAGAAAACCATTTATATATATCAATAGTTGTACCCAAAAAATTTACTTAATGAACAACATTTAAGTTTTTTAAAAATTTAATAAAAATTCCGTGATAAAAATATCCCCATAAAACTCTAAAATTGAGTGAAATGATTTTGTGGTAATATTTGCAGAATGTTAACTCTTGTTAGGAATCGTCCATAAATTATATAACGCAAAATTTCACAATAAAAAAAAAAAATAAGTTTAAAAGTTTTCCCTTGCAGAGTCTTAATTTAAATCAAAAATCAAAATAGTTCATTGAGTTCAATGAAAATTGACGCGTAAAAGACCTTAACATCTTTTACTTCTGTTTCTAAAATAAATTTTGTGTTGCGTAATTTATGGACGATCCCTTATAGTAATAGAGTTTGATTAGGTCAGTTTTGTCAGTCTTACTAAAATTCAAAGAACATTTAGGTTTATGAAATTAATTGTTTATATTATAAACCTAATAAATTTAAAGAACTTTTTCTCTAATTCATATATTAAACTACATGGCCACTGGCCACACTCTTCCTCTCACTTCAATGATACAAGTCAGCTCAACATTTTCAGCTCTACATAGCCACACTCTTCCTGTAGTTATGATACAAGTCACCTCAAAATGAAGGACATAATTTTTACAAAGCATCCTTATCTGACATAAGTATAAACATTTAAATATTTGAAATTTGCTCCGTTTCTTGAGGTTTTCTATCTCAAGTTCAAAAAATGCTAGATCCACCCCTGATCTATACCATTTTTTTTTTTCTTTAAAAAAAAATCAATTTAGGTTTCCCAAGAAGTCCTTATAGTCTTATCACAGAGCACCGCGGTAGAGCAATTGAAAGGAAGTTTACGCCTCCTTTCTTGCCAATTTTGTAAAACTTGCCCTGAGGGAACGTTGATCTACGGATCTGTAGCCTCTGACGTATGCGCTCTAACCACTGCGCAACGGCTGCTCGACTTTGATCATTTTAATCCTATCATTCTTCTACTGACTTGTTAGCCGTTATAACAAAATATTCTGTTGTATATTAGATGAAATCTAGCTTGTGATAACCATTTTCTTAATACTAATTTTATTCTCAACCTCTATATATATCATATTCATCCCCGTATTGAAAACTGTTGTCATGATTTTTAATTAATATTTTGCTAACTCCTAACGTAATTTGTGTTTGCTTGCAGCCTTGTTGGAGTTAAACATTTTTTAAAATAAAAATTTCAACATGAAAAATGAATAATAACAACCGTGTGTTCGACACATGTTTTGCTCATAACCGCATAGCATTTATGCCAATTGAATATTAAGCAGGTGCTACATCATAGTTAAAGCCTTGGACAAAATAGAAGGTAACACGAGCATGATTGATTAAACTAATTAAATTAGCAAGTTTAAATAAAAATAAAATACCAAAGTAAAAATTGTTAGTTTTATAACACCTTTTATTATGTTTTTATAAGAAATATTTGAAAGTATAAAACTCACAAGTATTATTTAAAAATATATACATAACTTGCTTTATTTTAAAGATTTTCCCTTCACAAAAGCTCTAACACTATTCTTTTTTTTTCAAATCAACGATCTAATCAACCTTTAAATCAACGACTTTTAAGTTTTTTAAGTTTGACTTTCTCAAGCGCGAACTTGAAACTTTCAACTTTCGTTTACGCATTTGCTCAAGCTTAATTTTGAAGTTTAACAAGACAAAGCCAAAGTTCAAGCTGAACTTCAAAATCTGAACTCTTCAAAGTTCAAGCTGAACTTCACTCAAGCTTGCTTATTGTATTCCACCCTTAATTTTATGATTACATGAAAGGTTGTCTTTGTGTGTGTGTGTGTGTGTGTGTGTGTGTGTGTTGTGTGTGTGTTTGTGTGTGTGTGGTTTTTAAGGTGTTTTCATAAGTCTTTACGGTTTTGTCACAGAGCACCTCGGAAGGGCTTTTTAACTAGGAAGTTCATACGACTGCACTATATCTACAAAATTTTGTATTCAGTTTGTAGTCAAATTTTGTAATAATCTACAAACTTTGTAGTCAATGTTGTGGCTAGGGGGTTGCAAGCCCCTCCAAAAATCTGTTATTAGTTTCCCCAACCCTAAAAAATTTCACTAATTACTAATGAAAAAAAAAATCCTTGAATTTGCTAAAGGGCTCCTAAATTTGCAAATGGGCCCTAAATTCCCTGGGTGCTAGGGTGTGGGATAGTCTAGACTCTGTATGTAGTCATCACGAAATCAATTTAGTCATTGGGAACAGTAACCACAAAATAAGATAGTGGCTTTGGAAAAAAATTGGGCTATTTATGTACCGTAACACGGGCCAGGTTGAAATCATATTGTTTGTATAATTACAATAAACTAATGTAACACGGGGTTACTTTGGCCAGCAGGGTTACTTTATTTATTTTTAAAAAGTTTAATTAAACATCTGTAACTTTTAAACAGATAAGTAACGTTTTACTATTTAAAATAGTAAAACGTTACTTTACTGTTTAAAGGCTACAGATCTTTAAAATTAAAGTTTTAAAAAATGGCAGAGTAACCCCGCTGGCCAAAGTATGTTACGGTTGTTTATTGTAATTATACAAACAATATGATTTCAACCTTGTTGTAGCAGAAACCGTAAGTTAAATTTATTATAATTTTTTATGTTAAAAAACTTATCATTAAAGAATGACATATAAAGTATTACAATTTTTAAAATATAAAAATATGTATAAACAAATTTACACTAAAATTAACAGTTATCAATAAAGTTATAGAAAGACACAGTTACAGTATATTTAGCAGGTCCCTTACTTTTCCCCTTTTATCTCTTTAAAACAAAATAGATACTAAACTAAAGATAAAACTAAAATAAACAAACCTTTTTGAAACAGCTCTTTAACGAGATTAAAATCAGTATATTCTGCAGAAACATAAAATGTTGCTCCGACTGGACAACCATTAGGATTTTTCATTTCATCAAGTAACTGCATATAAAAGTTGTAGTTTAATGAGTTGACAGCGTCATCCATTGTGAACATAACAATTTGCGGAACTTCTTCTTTGGAAAGATTTCCAGGAATTTCTTCGCTTGCACACCGGCAATTTGGAAGTAGACATTTGTTTTGATTACAATTGACTTCCGCTTTTACTAAATTGTTTTAATAAATACAAACTTTTTGTTTATATTATGCACGGAAAATTAAAAATACTGTTAAAGAAATACGGCTACTCAGCAAACATTGTTTTAGTGACTTCGGAGTAGACCTATATTAACATTTTTGAGCTGTTCATTGGAGTTTCACTCATTGGTAACTTAGTGGATTATTAGTGGCAGCCGCTACAAATGGCCAGCCAATAACTTTCCGAAATGTTAATAGTTGTTAGTCATTGGCTAGCTACTTTTGGCAGCAGCCACTAATGGTCCAATAAGTAACCGATGAGCAAAACTATGCTATTCCGCTATGACACGTTTCTGGATACCTATAAGTTCAAAAAGTTTCAAGGATAAAAACTATTACATAAAATTATTTTCTCACCATAATTTTTTTGACTAGTTACGTTAGTTTTAAGTGTTTGAAAGTTTGTAGAACTAATAGCTTCTGAAATTGGCAGTTTAGTAGTAATTTGAGACTGTTTTGATGTTGTATCTTGAATAGCAACAGTAGTAGCTTGATTAGCTGGTGTTGGTAAAAGAGTGGGTAAATCTACAGAAGCTTGACACGAACTTGAAGTCCAAAAACATGACAGCAAGTTATTATCCCATACTAAAGGTGGAGGACAGGAGCGTAACACTTTAACGCCATTGGCGCATATGAAAAATTGTTGACAATTGGTAGGATTTGGATAAAATTTTCCATTTGCACAAGGACTTGATAATACATCGTTAACTATATAAACATTTCATAACACAAATAAACATATAATAATTGATAATAATCTTAAATAGAATGTATATATATATATATATATATATATATATATATATATATATATATATATATATATATATATATATATATATATATATATACATATATATATATATATATATATATATATATATATATATATATATATATATATATATATATATATATATATATATGTGTATATATATGAATATATATATATATATATATATATATATATATATATATATATATATATATATATATATATATGTATATATATGAATATATATATGTATATATATATATATATATATATATATATATATATATATATATATATATATATATATATATATATATATATATATATATATATATATGTATATATATATATGTATATATATGAATATATATATATATATATATATTCAATTTTTTTTTTGCAGCAAAAGGAGAAGAGTGTATTCGGACCTCAAACCTCTTAATTGTAGGTTAAATGTTTTACCATTACTCTAGACTGGTCTAGACTAGTACAACCAAGTTAAATTTATTAAAAAAAAAAAATGAGTACCTATAATCTATAAATAAAATCATGGTTTACTTTATTTACAAAAAGGAATCAAAATAATAAAAAATATACCTTTTAAAATGTTTATTGTTGCAGGTAATGTAGAAGATACTGTAATCAATGTAGTTATTGGAAATGATGTAGCACTAGGTTTGATAGCACTTGTAACAGTCGAGTCTTTACATGTACTGCTAATACATGTGAGCAAACTATTGTCCCAAACCAAAGGATAAGGACATGAAAGTGAATACAATTGACCGTTCGAGCATACAAAATAATTTCTGCAATTTACAGCATCTGGATAAAATTTACCATTTTTGCAGACGTCATTACCTGTTTGGTAAAATAAATCAAAAAAAAAAAAAAAAAAAATAGAAGTTAGAAAGCCAAGAAATATTGTTTACTGTTCAAAATAGAAGTCAAGTTTGCAGAACTATTTTTTTAAGTTAACTGTTTTTAAGTTTAACTTGATTTTCAAGTTAACCTTAGTTTTTATAAATTCAAAATTAGATAGAAGTTTAAAACAATTGTATCTATCTCAACTATCTAACTTACACTGATTAGTCAAATAATCATGGAGTATCATAAGGGAAATCATGAATTATCAAAGAAAAAAAACAAGGCTTATATATTCAGAGTTGATATGGTAAAGTGTGAAACTTTTTTCAACAAAAAATATATAAATTTGGGTTCTCCGGCAACAATCACTTATTCGCAAAAGGTAGCTGTATTTATATACTCTATTAGGCTTTGGTGAAGCGAAATTATTAATTTTGATAATCAAAAACAATTTAACTTTATAGTTGTGTTTATCGGCTATATGAGGGAACCTATAAAAAATTATTATATAGTAGAATTTATAATTATAGAACTATAAAAATTATAGAGGCATGAGGAACAATGATGTAATGGTGAAACAATGATGCAATGGTGGAAAAATGGCACAAAATTATATTATTTATGTTTAAGCTTTGTATTAAATTTTGACAGGTTAATATTAGTCAATACTATATCAATGCTATAATAAACTTAAAATTTTGACAGGTTAATATTAGTCAATACTATATCAATGCTATAATAAACTTAAAACTCTGCTCGTTGTCTTTTGAATTGCAATACACCTAATGTATTGCAATTCACCTAATGTGTTGCAATACACCTAATGTATTGAAAAAGAAAATAGAGTAAAAAATAAGTAAAAAAGTAACGAAAATAGAAGTTAAAAAAAAACCATTAATGAATGAAATGTATAAAAACGATGGCAAAGAATGAAAAAAAACTATTTAAAGAGCGGAACCTGGATCGGCAAATCAAAATTTTTATTCATTTTTTCATACATTTTTTTAGTTTTCTTTCATATATTTCTTAGGGTTATTTATTTTTATTATTTATTTATTTTTCTTCAATTTATTTATTTATTATTCAATTTTTTATCGTATTTAGTTTTACTTATTATTTTTTGTTAGTCATTTGTTTGTTTTTTAGTTATTATTTATTTTTAGTCGTATATAAATTTTTTATTCAGTTATATATTGTTTGTTTTAATTTTTATTTTAGCCATTTATTATATATGTTTACTTCTTCCGTGTATTATTATTATTATTTTTTTTAATTTTAAGTTTTTTGTTGTTGTTGATTGTTTTGTTTATTTTGCATAGTTTTTTGTTTTGTTTCGTAATGTTTGTTGTAACTTGTTTTGTTTCGATTTTCTCAGTGTTTTTCTGTTTATATTTTATTTATTTATTTGGCTATAATATTTGCAATATATTTTGATTATTACATTTTAACAACTATGATTATATTAATATGTTTTATAAATCTTTATAGTTTTATTAGCAGTAGTCGTTTTTATGTCATTGTTAGTTGTTACGTTTTGTCAGTTTATTACTGTTTATAACTGTAACTTTTTATGTAAAAATGATTGCTTTATGGAAAGTAATACCGATTTATTTAAATTATTATAATTACTTCATTTTTATTGCTATTATTATTGTTATTACTATTATTAATATTATTATTATTACTAAGATTAATTGTATATATATAAATTATTTTTTTTAGGTACACGCTTAAAAATAGTGTGGACAAAAAAACACGACACTTAGTGTTGCGTCTTTTTGGCTACAAAAATTGTGTACTTCAAGACTACACTTGTGCGCTTTAAAGCCACACTTGTAATTATGAAATTAACTTCATTATATGCGTAAAAAAAGTCACACTTTGTGTTGCACTATCTTGGTTTCTCGTATCGAATTATTCGGAAAAGAGGCTAGAACCATGTTTTTAGCGAGATGTTTTTTTTTTATGAACCATTTACAGTTTTACTAAAAATTTTAGTGTAACTCTTATTGCTGCATAGTAGTTTTAAACACATTCATAGTTAACTTTTTCATAATGAAATATTTGGTTTGTAATATTTTAGTAATATTGTATTAAATATGTTTAGCGAGGAAAATATCGATTTTCAGTTGTTAAAAATTAGGTAAGACCTTCGGTTTGTTGTACATTACTACATGAATTAGTTGTGTGACTTTATTTAATTAGACTAATCTTATTATTTTATATATATTGTATTAAAATGTTAATACAATTATTTTAGTTACGTTAACAACATTATTATGAAGTTATAAAAATTATAACATAATTTATACATACAAATTAAATACATACAAATTATAACATTATTTATACAATAACATTAATTATATAAAATAATAACATTAGTCTAAAAAAATGTGTAAAATATAAGTTTAAATAAAATCACATAACATTACCAGTTAACTGGTAGTCTGTTAACATAACACAAGTAATGTTGTTAACATAACTGTAAATAATATTGTTAAATAATATTGTTAATGTTAAACGTTAATGTTAATGTTGTTAAAGTTAATTTTTTTATGTTATAACAGAATGGAAAATATTTAATACATAAATATTATTAAATAAATATGATAGTGGTGTTATTTTAGTTAAAATAGCAGCATTTTAGTTATATTAACAATAACTATTTTAGTTATCATATGTTAACAACTATATATATATGTATACCATAAAGGTATACTTTATATTATGTACATATCTTTTTTTTTCTGAAATAACTAATAAAAATCATTATTGCATGATATATCATTCAATAATGATTTTTATTAGTTATGATTATGATTTTTAGTCATGTTGAATGTTGAAATAATGTATTAAATAATTTCATCATACATATGAAAGCACTCTAATAAAATTATATTAATATATGCAATAAATGCACAATGCACAAATATATGCACAATGGCAACAATGATTTATAGTGCTATAATATGTATATATTGTGTGTATATATATATATATATATATATATATATATATATATATATATATATATATATATATATATATATATATATATATATATATATATATATATATATATATATATATATTAGGGTAAGTCATAAAATTTTTTTTTCTTGTTACAGGCTCTAAACATTGCTAGAAAGTTGTTTTTTTATGTACTAATTTAGGAAAGTATTTACTTTTATGGATTGAACAATGTCTTCCACCCGCAACTATAATTACAAAAATTAGCTGGCCCAATTATTATTCAAAAAAAAAGTTTTTCAAAATTATGTGATGTAGGTACTCAAATAAAGCGAAATTTTATAAAAATTTCAAAAATAATAATTTTTTCATTTAAAAATTATTATTTTAGAGGTACCAGGTTGACCTACTTTTGAAAAACTTTTTTTCTCCAAAATATTAGGGTACCGGTAATTTTCCCAATAAAGTTGCGCCCTTTAAATCTATCACAATCATTCTCGTATTTCATAGTATCAATATTAATAACTATTAGCAATGTTTAGAGCCTGTAACAAGAAAAATTTTTTTTTTGACTCACCCTAATATATATATATATACTTTTTTTCTGATAAAAGTTATTAAAATGTTTATTTGCTATATATGTGGTACTTTTACGAAACTATTGATTTTTTATCAAAATCATCTACAACGTAAAATAATAGTATTGGCGAAATTGTTTATCCAATTAAATGTTTACAGAATGGCTGTAAATGTACATGCACAGCTTATATGTCGCTAATTAGACATGTAAAATGGTACCATAATATTGATAATGATTTCATTGATAAAAATTCTGAGCCAAAATATATAGTAATCTATTAAATGATAATCGTAACGATTTATTGCCTAATTTTCCAGAATATTCATTGCCTAGTTTCCCAGAGAATTCTACTTATCAAGTTTACACTTATCCTGAAAAAACAATAGAATATATTGATCCTTTGTTAGTTTCTTCATTGTGAACAAGCAGCAGTGATCCTTATTACATTATACCTGAATTAATTGTTTCTGTTAACAGTATTTCATAATCATTAGTTTCCTATATTGCAGCGCTCAAATAGTTTTTCAAAGCTTGCCAATCAAATGTAATTATTTCACAAAAATAGGTTTTCCTTGAATTTTTCGAAATTTCTTCAAAGATTGCTGATCATTGATCGGCTGTTATTTCGAGCGATGATATTGGTAATGCTGCTTTATCAGTTTTCAATGATATTAGAGCAGATTCCACTCTATTATTGTTTTAAAGTAAGTTTGAAAGTAGTGTTATACATTGCAATGAGCCACTCAAGTTTCTTGACACATTATATAAACAGATATATTTGCTTGGAATAAACAGCAAAATAATTATCGTCAATTCCTTTTAAAGAAAGTATTGCCAAAAGTTTAAGATTAAATTAAGCAATATGTTTGTGAAACAAAAAATATTTTTATCACTTTCTTGTTTATTTTTGTTATATTGTCAGCCGAGAACCAAGAGGCCGTATGTCTTATTTTGTGTTTCCAAGAAAATCAAGTTTTAAATTTTAATTCGCGAAGACTTTCTTCCAAAAAATTCGACTGATTATTTAAATATTTCCTAAAATTTTATTGTTGTGGCATACTTATGGAACACACACTCCTGAATATTTATTGATAATGGACAAAAAAAAACATGTTGACATACGGTTCTTCTCTGACGGCGGTATCTATTTTTCAAAGTTTTAACTCGCTTTTGCATATAAATGTTTTAAGACTTGTTTTTAATTTAATATTCACTGAATTGAGTTTGAGTTTGAACTGATTTTAAATACTTGAAAGAAATACTATAACAATGCATTGACTCGGAATTAAAATAAAATTTATATTTCAGTTTTTATTATTTTATTGCGATATCGTTCCGTCATTTCTTGTAAGCCAATATAATATACATGTGTAAATTAGTATATGACTCTAAATGACAATGTGTAATTTAGCATATGATATAAATAGCATTCTTTATTTGA